TCGCCGTGCGGAGGCGAGCCGGGCTGCTCCCGACGGACAGGTGACGATTGGGGCTGGGGGATGCCCCACTTGGGGGGAGGCGCAGAGGCTTTGCGCTGGCCGTGCCACGGCTGACTTGCTCTTCCTTTTGCTCTTGTTGCCTCGACCTCTCTAACAGAAGGTTGTTTCTTCATTTGAGTGCTTTCCAAACTATTTATGACGCCCGTTCGTACGGGCAAGGCAGTGTCTTCAGGCTCTTGAGGTCTCTACCTCGGGACCGTGCCCCCGTCCCGTCTTAAGGAGCTCTAGAGGACTTGGAGTGCAGGGAAGGTTGATGGAGCGCGCCGGCTTGCTGGGGTCAGTCTTTTGAGAGTTGTTTTCCTTTTGCAGGTGTTTTGAGCCGCTGGGCCCCCTGCTTTTCATGGTCTTCGACCTTTAGAGGCTGGAGCTGCAGCCCTCTCTCTTTCAGCCGTGTACCTGCCACGCTGCTGGAGTGGGAAATCCCGCCCGGGCGCCTCGTGGAAGCGGCTCTTCCCTAAAACCATCCTTAACTCCTTTCCCCGCTAGACCGAGTTACCTTCCGATAGACTCGGGCTGTGCTTTGGCAGACGGGCTCGCCTCTTGCTTTGGCAACCTCCTCGCTTCTCCCAGCTCTCTGGTTTCCATGCCCTTCAGGGGGTCGCTCCTCTCTCCTCCCACGGACCTGGGACATCGAAGCTGTGTCAGACGATGCCATTTCATCCCTGTTTGAACTCCGTTTCGCTTTGGTGGTTTGCAAACACAGCTGCTGCTGCTTCATTTTTATTTTTTCTTTCATGCTGCAAAATATATCTTGATTTTTATCTTCCTGGGCCAAACTCTCTTATTTTGTAAGCTTGTCTGAGGTAGAAGGCTCTTGCTTTACCAGTAAGCGTACGATTCCTCCTTGCATGGTGCAAGCGTGATGTGTTTCATTTAGGTCCCTTAGAAAATCCTGGGCCACGGTGAAAAAATGCCTCTGAATCACAAGAATATTTGTCCCTGGGCTTCGCCGAGGCGTCAGTGCAGTGGGCACCAGCTCAGCTTTGGGTGGTCCTTGCTGGCGCATCTGTCTGCGAGATGGCTGCGGTGGGGATGCTCCAGCGCCGTTTTCGTGCTGCCGCGGGAGTTGCAGGATTCAGCTGCCCCGAGCTGGGGGAGGTAACGCGAAGAGGTAGGTACAGGGGTGTCGCTGAGATCCCTTGGAAAGAGGGGGTGGTTGTGGGGTGCTGCCCCTCGCACCCTCTCCATCAAACCCGCGCCATCCCGTTGCAGGCAGGCGGTGGGGCAGGGAAAATGCTTTGCCTGCTTTTCCAGCAGGAGCTGCTGAGCAATCGGCCACGTATTTTTAAGGTGACTTTGCCGTGCGAACCCACTGATGTTTTGGTTTTGCAATGTTGATGTGAAGGCAAATGCAAGTTAGTGTAAGCGGGGAGAGAAGGGAGTGTTCAGGGCTCGCTTGTGGGGCTCCATTTCTGTGCCTGCCGTTAACTGCATCCACGGGCGCTTGGAGTGATGGGTTTGTAGGATGGGGGAGCTGGAGGGTCCCAGGGTCTCTTCCCAGCTCTGCCACGGACCTGTAGTACGAACCTGGGCTGGAGCCCTCGGCAGGAGGCACCGGCATGGTTTGCGGTCTCGCCGGGTGTGTGCGTAGGTGCCCCCCCCCGAGCAGAGTGGTCCCCTTGAGCTGCCAGGGTGGTGGGGAGTGCCTGTGCGAGCAGGCGATGGTTTTCCCAGGGTCGGATGCTCACTGCTGCTGCCGTGTGTCGGTCACTTGTGACTTGGAGGCTGGTTTTGGTCGCTGGTGGGCTCCAGGCTGTTGATCTGGCATTGGCCTCCTTGTCAGCTGGTTCAGTGCCACCCGCTTTGGGGGAAGGCTGGAGGTGACAGTGTTTAGGTACATAAATATAAAGGGAGTATCAACTTTGCTGTACCTACCTCCAGGGGTGTTGTGGGCTCAGGGTTTGTGCTCAGCAGCCCAGGCACAGTCCTGGTAGGGCTTGGTCGTGTCTCGGGGCATCCGGGCACGGCACACGCATTTGAGACTTATTGCTGCTCATACCTTGCAGTCTGTATTAGGACAAAATCTGCCTGGCACTTTGGTTTCTCCTCCTGCTTCAGGCAGTGATGTAGATTCGGGAGTTCGCTGAGTTTCGGGTTGGTTTCAGCTGTAGTTCTTGGCTGGGGGCATTTTCCGTCGAGGCTGGACCGGCTGCCAGCTGCCTTCAGGGATTTCCACACGTCCTGCATGGGCTCGCTGCGGCCCCGGGCTGGCAGAGTCGATGCTTTTTGTGGAAGGAAATCTTTTCAAGGAACTGGAGTAAAACGCAATGTATATATGAGATATAAATACATAGAGAAGCGTAGGACAAAGATAGATAGGTATGCAGAAGTCCAGTAGATTTGCATGTCGGGGGTATGTTTGTCTCTAGGGGAGAGAGTTTAGAGCTGCGGTGGAGGGGGGGGGGTGGGATGGGCAGGGGCTGGGAGCAGCCA